TTTGGCCCTGTTGTTTGAAATGACAATGAATTTCTTAGCTATCTATTTGTTTAATGCTTACTGTTTTATTTTATAAGACATTTTGTGGTTCATGGATGACACTGCAATAAACTAAGGCTTTTGAAATATTGCCTGTTTGCTTTTTTTTTGGAGAAAGAGGAATTCAAGATGTGCTGCTTATAGCTTTTAATGCATTTCATTCATTTATTTTCCTGCGGCTTGGTCCCTTTAATCATCACAGGTCACCACAGTGGAATGAACCGCCAACTTATCCAGCATATGTTTTACACAGCAGCTGCTTTCCAGCTGCAACCCAGTACTGGAAAACATCCATAAACACTCATACACTACGGCCAATTTAGTTATTTAGTTCACCTATACCTATACCTACGGTGTAAACCGGAGCACCCGAAGGAAACCAACTCAAACATGCAAACTTCTCACAGAAATGCCAATTAACCCACTAGGGGCGGATTTGTCTTTCCTTTAAGCCAAATTGTTTCCTATGGTTTAAACCATGTTTCTTTTCAAAGAATAATCAGGAAATCTTGCATATAAAGCAGAGATACTGCCATGGGCGTTATGTAAGTTACTTATCAGGTTACATTTATAAAAAACAATATGAAATTTCACAATTTAGGTAAATGTTAAAGTCTCTACAAGTGATTTTTTTTACCACAGATTTGACACTTTTGTCTTTTTTTTCTTTTCTAAAATGTTCAAAGGAAAAAAGAGGAAACCATTGGGAATTTATTAAATTATTAACAGGTGGATGCTAATTTTATTGAACCTACATAATATCATAATATATTATCATATATATTATGATATATATGACATAATATATTTTCACATCACAATTCTAGATTTGTTTTTCATAAAGATAAACGTGTAATTTTCCATAAAATCAGTGTATCTTTTAACAACCATTATAAATCAATTAACCAATTAAATAGAAATCCAAAATACTGTATTTACTGCAAATTATTTGTATGATAAAGCTGTGGTAAACAGAAATTACTCGTTGATGATATTAAAAATATACATATTTTATTTAGTAACTCTCATTACTGTGTGCCATATTTAGAGGACCCCATATTTTACTCTGTTAGATATAATACAATGTAATTTAAATGTTATGATAATGTCCTTTTGATTACCTGCCCTGCATCTTCACAATATCCACATTTGGAAAGTCAATCTTAAGAAATAAGACGTTATTTGCCAGAAGAGATGCATCATTTGCCAATAGAGGGCGCTACGAAAAACGGATCTAAAATTTCTTGAAATACAACCACATTCTTATTCTATTAAATGAAATGAGATAAAAGCTTAGTACACACAAAATATCAGGGTTTTCTGGTGCTGTGATCAGACATTTATATCAGTGTGAATGATGGAAGAAGACACATTACTGAGTCACATTCCTGACCAAAAATTCCTCATTGGGCCACTTGCACCCACCTGACTGTACTTAATTCTAACAGTACGTTTCCCTGAGGTATTTTGGGAGGCTGGAGACCTCCAAGAACTTGTCCCAAATGTCACCTTAACGTTCTTGGGTGTCCATAATTTTATGAAGTGATGCCCATTTGACTGTCAAGTATTTTTCTCAGTATAAGCTTGGCAGAGGGTGCACACTGAGGGCGCATAGTGGCCACAAAGGGAACTGAGCACACTTTTAAAGTTCAAATGATGAATGGGACACCACGTGGACTTAGTGCACGTGGAGGTAGCCATTGCAAGTCTACTAGACTGCAAGTACACTTATAGTGTGGTTTTTGAAACAGGGCCCAAGGAGAATAATTATTATGCCTTCAGAAGGTGGAGACCATGGTGGGGATGTGAGGTGCATAAAAAGGCATGTACTAAGTAAGCACTACTACCTTCTTTATGACCATTATAAATGTGTGTTATGAATAATAATAGTATGAATGTAATTTGGATGTACCACAGCTGCTATGTTGTTGCTTCACAAACCATGGGCCTCATGGGAAAGTAAATTGGTCCATTAGATGCACACTTTAGTATTTTTCCATATACTATGAATTTGTACACACTACTCCATTTACATACTAGTTGTATCCTAAATGACACACTATACATGCACTTTTACACTATAAACTCAATAGTGCAGTGTTTGTGTTTAGTGTTATGCCAAATTGACCCTTTTTTTTTTTTTGTACTAACCAGAAATTCATAGTTTCCAAGATGACGAGAGGGGTCTGGATGCAGACCTGATGCAGAGCAATCTGAGCTGCATCCAATGCTTTTTAATGGGCTCACCTAACCCTAACCATCACAGTGACGTCACTCACTTCATTGAGTGCATTGTGTCTGACATAGAATCGCTGAGTGATGCAATCTCAGCTTGCATCATAAAGGCTGCATCCAGATGCTATTGAAGATGATGCTTAACATTTGTTAAATTATAGTAAAATAAATCACCAAACTTAAAAATAGTACCTTTCATGAGTACCACAGCAATTGGGAGGAGGTATAATTGTATCCATTGGAGAATTTTGCTTGCACTTGAGTCATAGCTTAATGACTAACTGGACCAGGTCCACTACCCAATGAACCCTTTTCACATTTTTTTCACACGTTTTTTTCAGTAGCGGATGTCATCATAGTTGGGTAAATTTAGAGCACAGTGAATGTGAAGAGTAACAAATATTTTTTACAATCTTATTGTCTGAAATAATAAAAGAAAAACTCCACGAGCCTTTCAGAAAGAGTAAAAAATAAAATAAAGAATAGAGTGAGACTGATGACAGCTGCTAGAGGAGAGAATAATGTCAAATTTGCTGTCCCGCCCATAGAAGCTGCATTACAAACACCTTGCATAAGCGATCATTTGCTTTTAATAATTTGACGCAACAGTGATGTAATACGTACATAAATACATATAAACGTTCATACGTTTTTAAAAATCTAAATATTAAAAACTTTCAAGGATTTAAGATTATGATGAACGTTAAATGCGTCATAACAGTCTTGTGAAAAGGGTCCATTGACAATCGTCTCCAGCTCCCCAACCCTAAACCCAACCATCACAGTCGTATGAGCATTAACTCTGGGCATTACAAGGCCCACCATATTGGACCAGGTCCACTGCGTCATCGTGATACTGTGAAATCATGAAAATAAAAAAAGTCTAACCTCAGCACCAGGGGTTTAAAGTAGCAAATAACAAATACTTTTATGACTGTAACTAGTAATCATTTTTCAAATTGTAATTTACTAGTTTTAAAATGGTGTACTTTTACTTTTCCTTGAGTACATTTTTATTGCATTATCGGTACTTTTACTTCACTGTTTTCCTTCAACCTGCAGTCACTAATTTATTTATTTGTCTATGGTGATTGGCTAAGTACAAAAATCAGTCCTGTGATTCCTGTCCAATCAAATCACACATAGAAAGTAAATCGCATCTGAACAACCTCAAGACATAGGCCCTTTATAAATGCAGCAAACTGTTTGAAACCATTAAAAATGTCCAAGAAGATGTCCAAAACATTGCACGCAATGACCCAGAGACCGTCACTGATAAGAAAATAAAGGATATTGACTTTATGAAGACTGAAATCACCAAACAGCCTTAAACAATCACTAAATGGATCGAATGAAGAATTGTAAAAAAGGGCAGAATGAAGGAAGAGCCAAACAAGGAATGGAAGGAAGGACCAAATAAAGGAAAGAAGGACCGAACTAGGCGGTTCATTCCGCTGTGGCGACCCCTGATGAATAACGGGAATTAGCTGAAAAGAAAATGAATGAATGAGGACTGAACTATTGAAGGAAGCAAAGACCAAATGAATGAAGGACTGAACAAACTAAGGAACGAAGGAGAAATGAATGAATGAATAAATGAACAAAGAACCAAATGAAGGAAGGAACAAAAGAATGAAGGAATGAATAAAGGAGTGAACAAATGAAAGAAGAAACAAACAGACGAATGTATGAATGAAGGACATAACACACAAACAATTAAAGGAAGGATCATTAAATGCACTACAGAATGTTACATCCTGCACAAACTGAATGCAAATGCATCAACTTTTAACAGCTTAACACTCACTATACTCTTAACTTATAAAAGAGCTTCTTTTTACTCGTAATATTCACAACAGATACTTTTACTCTACTTGCATTTTTGGGCAAGTAATGGTACTTTTACTTGAGTATTATTTTTCAGTACTCTTTCCACCACAGCTCAGCCCCCATTAGCCCCTCCACTTCTGCAATGTGATCAAAACTGTTAGCGTTTAGTGCAGGAAAGTGTGTTCAACATTCCACACTTCTATTTATCAGTTGAATATGTACTTGACCTGGGTATTAAAGGGTGAAATGTACAGTTTTGTTTGATGTGTGATGTAATTTGAACTGAACCATGAGGACTGGGCTGGACATAGAGTAACTCCTCCACCTTTTTAAAACAGCCAATAACGTTTTGTTTTTATCAAACTGCCAGTGGGAGTAGTTAAGCTCAAGTGCAAGAGCATCTTAAAGAGGCCGGAACATGTCAGAAACAAGAGAGCGTTTGATTGGTCAGAAGATTTAATGAGAAACTGAATTATGAGGAAAAAAAAATATTAATCTGTACAAATTGCAAGCTTTATACCTTCCTAATAAAAACGTTGTCACTGCTCTGGAGAAAACAAGCTTATAGACTAACTTTAGAATGATACTAACATCTAAAAATATATATTTTGATTTCATCGGTACTTCATAGTGCACTACTAACAGAAGTAAAAATTAAGCAGATATTGCAACTTACACTATTTATACCACAAAATGGCATAGAATAGTGCCTATTTAGAACACACTCGCTGGTTTTCACGTAATGTGTGAGTGTGATTTTAAATGTACTACAGAACTACTGGTATTATAGATAAATGAAGGTTGCTTTGATAAACGGAGCAGGTGTAAAGAGGTTACTGTCCCTTTAAGAGACGCGGGCTGACTGAGCGCATATGCAGCGGCTCCCCGTCATCATCACTGCTGTACTGAGAGACACAGACACACAAGATAAACCGGGATTCCTCCTGTTATTCACCATCACTCCTGTCGGGTCGGAATGGAGATGTTGAATAATCGACTAAAATAAGGAAAAGTCCTGCTGAGCTCAAGATGGTGTCGTGGATCATTTCGCGGATGGTGGTGTGAGTGTTTATGCGGCGCGCGCGTGTTTGCGTTGTGTGTTGCTGCGGATACATGATCCTTTTCAATGAAAATAGCGTTTTATGCTTATTTTTTAAAAGTTGAATCGTTTACATTTGGAGTTCAGGGTTTTTTAAAGATAATATACTCAAATTACTTGCATAAAAGAGGTAAATGAGTTAAACAAAGCGATGACTTCATCCAGTAGAGGGTTCACCATTTGTGTTGTTTGTTGTGAGATATTCACCTGAAGCAAAATGCCCTGTGGTGTGATATTGTGACGTAATTTACCAAACACTTCAATGTAAAATATGAAATGTAGAAATATTTGATTTTAAAAGAAATGGGCAGGTTTCAAACATCCCATATGTTCTGCATGCAGAACATCCATCACATCAGCTCATATATCAGTTACAGAATATGATGTCATAAACATTTCAGATGTCCATTTTAAAGCCAGAGATAATACATGTTAAAGAATGGGTTTCTAAGGATTTTCTTTAAAAGCCTACCTGCCCAGCTGATTTTTCTATGCTGGTAATGTTACGTAATGTGAAGGAGGCCAATCTGTTCCATATGACTCACATATTTCTCATGCTTGGGTCTCAGGTGGGTTGTGGGATTTACAGTCAAGCGACTTTGATTCTCATCAGAGTCCATCAACTCCAATTACAAATTTCCTGAGGGATCAAATACTTGGACATTATCCCAAAGTCTGCTTGGGGCACAAATGGGAGAGGTTGAATTCATTGTTATGACTTGGGTTGGTCTGGATCTAGGCCATTAGAAACAAAGATCAAGCATCATTATCATGGTTTTGCTGAATCTCACGGAATGCTCTTCGCTGTGGCTTTAACTGTAGCAAGCAGATGCATTATGGGAGCTGAAATGGGACAGTGGGCATGTGGTCTGCCATGCGCCAGACTGCCTCGCTATCCTTCATTATGCATTACACACAAGAGCACATTTGGTATAGTGCATCATAAGTACAACTATGCTTTAAAAATATTAGGTTGTTTCAACTCAAATTTGGGTAAAACAGTTACAACCAGCTGCTGGATTTTTCTAAAAATATATACATTTTTAAACTCAACAATTAGGTTTATCTATATTTTACCCAAATTTGAGTTAAATCAACACAGTATTTTTAGAGTGCATGCTTTTAAGCCATAGAACATTGAATTGGGACACACTCATGATAACTACTGTCTGCACTGCACTAGGTGTGGTCTGTCCTGTATCCTGACATCTTCTATTTGATCTCCCATTGCACAGCGTTCAGATTTTGTCACATCAGCACTAAAATAGCATGTTTGTAGGACAGCACGTGTCTAAATGCGTGCTCCACATGCAGCTCATCTATCTAATCTAGTCTCTCTGTGTGTAGATCCGTCTCCATGCGCTCTAACTCCCTTTCATAAATGATTCACTTAATGGGCTGTTTGCTTTCAATGGCATCATGAAACATGCTGGTTTGTGTACAGTAGGGCTGGTATTTGCTTTAATAAAGTTTGCTCTGAGTAACTTTGATCACAAAGTCTGATTTTGTTTGTGGATACCTATTCTACTTTAGCATCAATGGAAATAGGCAGCCTCTTAAGTGTTGTAATAGTGAGTTTAAGTTGAGGTAATGGTGCAAGTGAAATTTTATATGCTGTGGTGAGATTGTGTGTCTGTTGGGAGTAATGTAGACTCAATGGGAATCTTTTCTCTCTGTAGCCTTGCTTTCGGGACCCTCTATCCTGCCTATTCCTCATATAAGGCTGTGAAGACGAAAAATGTCAAGGAATATGTGAGTATTTGATTGATTTTCATTTGAATATGACAACCCATCTGATTGAATCTGGAGGGTTTTAAACCACATATTAGAATAATTGTAATTCAAATATGAAACATTTTAGAATAATAATTTAATATTCTGTATATATTTAATAGGCAGTCAGAATAAGTGCTAGTTTTTATTATTACAAAATTCTACATGCAGAATGAAGATGAGGTCTTCATTCATACTTTATGAATATTTTATGGAGTTTTTTTTACTTTATTTTTATACATTAAAATATTTTGACAGAACAAAAGAGTCAGTGACAGCAGCAGTTATAAAAAAAAAAAAATATATATATATATAGGGTATATATAGGGTATCACTTTAAGCAGGAAAACAGGTGTAAAAGGAAGCTGTAGTTGCTAGTAGGAAGCTGACGTGTATTATCTCAATCTTTACTTCTTGCCAAAATTCCAGTACCTTCGGACATTTCCAAACTATAACCTACATTCCCGCAACCCCTCCAGCACTCTGACTGTGGACTGTTAACATATTTTGACACCATCAATGGTGCTTTAAAAAAAAAACTTTTTTTTTGTTTTTTTTGTATATAGCATAGGTTCTCATTTAAAAAACTTTTTGTATATTAAGTGCTCAGCATAATTGAGTAATTGAAAATTAATATTATTATCCATTCCTCAGTGAATATAGGCAATGTATTTTGATGCATTTAAACAAAACCTATTTATTAAACGGATATATTTTTATCTTATTATTTATAGTCACCATACATGTTTAGAATCTGAAAGATAAAACAATTAAATTCAAGAAAAATGTTTTTTTCAAAAAAAAAAAAAAAAAGGACAACCTGCAAAATTTAAACTAAATTTTTTATTTGTATTTAATATTTTTCTATAACATAAATGTGGGTGTACTAGTTTTTGGAGCGTTATCTTAAGTTCTTTTGTTGGATAAGCTCCAGATATGGCTTCAGTACTGACTAATCTAATGTATATGCAAACATAACATAGCTTCCTATGACATATATGATTTTAAAGAGAGAGTTGGGAGGGGTACACTTGTATATGCTGAGCACTGTTTATTTTTGGAAACCACATCAGTCTTGGAGTGTCAGGATGCTGGTTGCTATAGAAACCACTAGGCCAGCAGTTTGCTCCCTCAGACACCATTTTTAGCATCTCTGTCATCTGTATTCCAAATTAATCAGCCTTCCATTCATTTAGAAATGTGTTATCTAAACATTTTAAAACTTTTTTTTTTTTTTTGTGAAACAGGATTTATAAATGCATATGCTGCTAAAGATGCCCATCAAACAATGTGTAATTTGATAATTGCTCAGTTTGTTATTACTGTTATTGGCAGTGCATATGAAGACACACTGGCAATGTAGTAGCAATGATGGTTTTTTAAAGTGAGGCACTCATGCGTAAAGCACAAGGCTATATTCAGCATGAGCATGTGAACTGATGTCATACACGCACGTGCTTGATCATAACATGTGTGTGTTTCCATCCTCAGGTGAAATGGATGATGTACTGGATAGTGTTCGCTTTATTTACCACAGCCGAGACCATCACAGACATGCTTCTCTCTTGGTCAGTCACTTGTTAATAATGTCATTTTGACTGTTTAAGATATATTTGTCTTCACTTTTAACATTTATATTGAATGGAGTATAATTTTGGTTTAAAACATTTGGCTGGTTTTTAATTTAGAATTTTTATTTTTAGGAAAGTATCGCATTATGCTGTTTTAAAGGTTTTTAATTTTGTTTTGATATCTCCGCAATACATTTAACATTAAAGTAAAAAAAAAACAACAACAAATGTTCTTAATTTTCATATACATTGGAATATTACACACACACACACACACACACACACACACACACACACACACACACACACACACACACACACACACACACACATACACATAATGGGTTGATCTTTTCTCAATAAATCAGGGGTTCTCAAACTTTTCAGCCCACGAACCGCTAAATAACAATGCCAGTGACTCGCGACCCCCACCTCTAAGGTATATACATGCAAATGTTGCACACACAACAGTAGGCCTATATAAACACAAGCATATTGACAACACAAAAAGTGCAACAATCTAACAACCACAGTCTATATTTTATAGATTAATTTATTAATTTGTTTAGTTTTTAATAATAACCTTACCTAGTGAGACTGGTGGAATCGGACACAATGTTTTAAAGTCTATTCTTGCTTTAATTTTGGAGACCATCACCATGATCATCCTCAGTGTTCAGTAGTGGCCTGTATTTATTTTAATGTATTTGTTTGATATAAAGGTGTCAAAGTTTAACCTGGTGCTATAAAATCAGTCTGCTGCTGCTTACGCTATTGCTGTGTTGTTAATCTTATGTAAACACACAGTCCTATGAAAATAAATTTAAAGGCTGATGGCCTTTTATTTGGATGTTGTTGCTTTTTAATGCAAACAATAACTTTAACTTTTTTTATTATTTGGTTTATGGATAAAAATGGCAATTCTAATAGTTTAATAAAATTTATTTGACTTTTGGAAATCACCAAGCGACCCCCTATCATAATCCTGCGGCCCTTCAAAAAGACTGTGATCTTTGCTACTTTACAGATATTTTACATTCACAGACATATATTTTAAACTTGTTGTATGTATTTTTTTTCACTCTTCTAAAGCATAACAATACCATAATATGTTTGCAGATATTTAAGAAGCATGCTAAGTGGACATACTTTATCTGAAAGACATGCTCAAGTCAAGTTATTATTCTTAGAGTTCGTTCGTTGTTTAAATGTCTGTCTTTGTTTTGTGTTTTAACTCTTCCCACTGCCAGCTTACCCAATTACACATCGGCATATTGGGCTGCCTTGGCAGACTACACAGCTTATTTAATTTCAGTCATGAAGACTGCCTTAATGAATGCATGCACAGCCAAAAAATGTGAACTTCAGAGGATGGTAGCAGCCTCTGAAACGAGACGCAGATTCAGATTTCTTTTAATCAGCAAATATTGTAAAAATGATCTGAGCAACTTGCATTGTAAGGCTCGGTCTTGATATGCATGCACCCTTTGTGTTGTCAGTCTGGCAACCTGCATGAGGGTCAGACAGGACTAGGGGTGGAGTTAAAAAAAAAAAAAAAACTTTCTCCAATATTTTGGATTTGGACTTCAATAACTAGTTCAACCACTAGGTGTCAATCCTACAAACTGCACCTTTTACGCATTACATGATTAAAACTGCAAAAACATGATGTTATGGTTAGTAATTAGATTATTAATTTGACTTACTGTAATGTTTATATGTTGACCTCCTTTTTTCCCCAGGTTTCCATTTTATTTTGAGCTGAAGATTGCCTTTGTTATCTGGCTCTTGTCCCCATACACAAAGGGTTCCAGCGTGCTGTACCGCAAGTTTGTGCATCCCACGCTGTCAAATAAAGAAAGGGTAAACATCATCTTGTTTTCAAACAGGTTTCCTGGGGCCTGTTTCAGAAAGGAGGTTAAGGGAAAACTCAGAGTATTTTAACCCTGAAATGAGAGAAACTCTGGGTTTTCCGTTTCAAAATGGCAGGTTTGTTAAACTCTAGAAAGCAGGGTAAGTCAAGCCTGTTTCTGAAAGAGAGGTAACTTTAACTCAGAGTCAGTTACTGTGGTAACTTACTCTGTGAATCTAACCTGGTCAGAAGCAGGTTTTATTCTCTAAACTCAGAGTTTCTGTCTATCTCCTCCCCTTTTTTAAAGATGAAGCGGTATTTCTCGCCTTAGCCTTACGTTTCCACCCACCTATTTTAATGCTCATTTTGGATACGTGCATAAAAACGATTGATAGAAACGTCATGATGCACATAACTTTTTTAAATATGCATAAAAAACGCGCATAACTGAGTAGGATAAACTTTTATTCGATAGAAAATGTGCGCATAAACTATGATGGAAACACTTTTACTGAACAAATTACAGTATGTGCATTAAAAAAAAGATCATGATCATAGGATAATGAAAATGTGTGTAAATGGACAAACCAGCAGCCTTGGCACACTGTAACACGTCTTAAATATTGTTTTAGTCATTCTAAAATGCCTTAACTGTTTCAGTATTAGTGTATATTATTAATTACCTCCGAACGTCTGGTGCGTGTCAAGAGTCTCCGCGTCTCATGGCTTCAGACGCCCCCACGTGTTCATTGTGTTTCAGCATTGTCTTCTGACATCGAGGCGCAAGTACATTAATTAGGCTAAATAATGAATTAATTGACGCAGCTTTTTCTACCACAGTAAATTCTGTTTTTACTGTTGATATTTGGTGCCAGTTTAATCAGGAAGTGACACTTTTTTTTCTGACTCTGGATGGAATTTTATTCGCATCTTTTATGCAATATTCCAGTTTTGCACATACATTTATGTAATATATTTGGATGGAAACATAGCTATTGCCTACATTTTAGTCACACACAGAAGAACTGTACTAGAATGGCTTATCCTTTTTTAATAAATAATTAAATTAAATTCACCTTCGACATGCACTGTAACTAGATTAATGGGATTATTATTCTTTCTAAAAATTATTTTTAGTACTGCTTACCTTCTAAATGTTATATTAACCTCTATCACTTGATCAATAAAAAAGGCAGACACACAAGTGCACTGTTAAATCATTTAAAACTAATAAATGTAAAAAAAAGTTTAGAAAAAAAATATAAACGTCACAAATTACATTACTTATTTTATTATACTTAAATATTTAAATACTTAAAAAGTGAAATTAGGCATTAACTTGAGCAGCTGTTTTCCCACGCTGTCTCTTCTTCACTGATGGTTGCTTCTTTTCAAATATATACACTCATATTTGCTATAACTTTGCATGAGAACATCAAGTTCAGCTGGAGAAAGAAATGGTGATCTCTTTTATAAGATATTGCCATAGTCACTCGTAATGTCTGCGCTCCATTGATAATGCCTTTTTAAAGTCACGGTGCGCGCACTTAACTCTGAGTTGGTCTACTCGAAGTTGATTGACCCAACTCAGATCAGCTATTCTGAAACCGAAAACTCTGAGTTTTTAATCTCTCGGTAAATCAACTCAGAGTTCAAGTTTAAACTCTGAGTTGTTTGAACCTCCTTACTGAAACAGGCCCCTGAAATCTCCACCAATCTCCACCAATCATTTGTTTTGCATGATGCATATGTTTGTTGCAGGAAATTGATGAGTACATAACTCAAGCTAAAGACCGCAGTTATGATACCATGATGCGGTTTGGGAGGAGAGGACTCAACATTGCAGCTACTGCAGCAGTCACAGCTGCCACAAAGGTGAAATCATTGTTTTTGTGCTTGTTTCGTTGTGTTGTCAGTCAGGGATCAAAACTTTTATATAAATATTAAATGTATTTATATTTTTGGAATTATCCCTTTTATTTTATTGAAATATACTGAAAACATTTTTATTTTTGGGTTCGTAAGGTTTTTAACAAATCTATTTAAAAGAAGTTTCTTGTACTCAACAATGTCGAATTTGTTTGATTTGAGTAAAACTGTGAAATATTTCTAGAATTGTATGTGTAATTGTAAATGTAATGTTTGTTTGTGTTTGCAAAGCTCCATTTTCAGAATCCAATACAATTTTCATTGTCACACAAACCTTCAGAAATCATTCTAATACATGGATGGATTTTAAACTGAATTGCTGATTATTATCATGTTTTTAATGAAGCCAATATCAGAATTGCTTTACGAAAGTTTAAAAGAACAGCGTTTTGCTTAAAATATAAATCTTGACAATATTATGAACGATTTTTGTTGTCACTTTTGATCAATTTAATGCTTCTTTGCTAAATAAAAGTATTAAGATATAAGAATTAATAAAAAGAAAACCTGTCCTGACAAAATTTTGAAGGTTAAACAGTAATTATACATTATTTTATGAAATAAGAATGGCAGAAAATTTAATATACTTAAAAAAAATTAAATATAGGCCAGGGGATTAAAATGTTAAACTACTGATCTGGCAGGACTTAAAGCATAGATTATTTGGATCTGTAGGGGCTAGTAGTAAGAGAGGTTTCTGTGAATATTTTTAGTTCAGTATGGCAGAGCCACTTTTCAATAATTGTCCTTTATTGAAACTTGTAAGCAAACAACCGTGTCACATGTACAAATGCAGTAAAATGATGCATCCTGAATAAGAATATGCGGTTTTGTAATGTCTGTCTTGTGTTAATGAATTACAGGGTCAGGGTGTGTTATCAGAGAAGCTGCGCAGCTTCAGCATGCAGGATCTGACTCTGATTCAGAATGAAGATGAGCTGCAGTTGGACGGCGGAGATGACACGCACACTGCAGCCACGCTACCTCGTGCTAAAACAGCAACTCGCACAGGTAAAGCGCTGCTGTCCTCCTCAATGTGTTTGTGTGGTCAGTAAAGTATGTTCACTTGGTCATTGTTTGGTTTCAACAGGCGTAACGAGTGTGACTCCCTAAATTTAATCCTGTACATACAAGAGCAGACAGATGGATTGAAAAATGCTGACGTGTAACACTAGTAAATCCACTGCTTTAATGCCTGTAACCATAGCGACAGATAACTTTAGTAAATATTACTTTTTAATACAGGTCATTTTTATAATGGCTTGTCCTGTTCATACCAAGATTATTATAGTTTTGCTTAGTACACAAGGTTATTCTTTTTTTAATTATTTTATGTTATGTTAGGAAATGTTTTAAATTATTATTTTTTTAAATACATCATTTAAAGGTGCTGTAAATTTAATTTCTTTTTTTTAGCTTTAATCTTCTGAACACATTTGTATTTAGTTTTTGTTTATTTAACGTGACTTTTAGTTTTAGTCATTAGTTTAGCAGAGTAAACAACACATCTAGTGTAGCAAAGTTTAGTGTTTGTACCTCTTACATCAAGTAATAATATAGTTGTTTGAACAAACACTGAACGCAAAACCTTACAAATTTAGCTTAATGAATAGAAGTAAAAATTTAGTTATTCAGAAAATATTCCTTATATTAATGGCCATATAATATGCATAGTACTAAGCTAGCTGGCCTTCGTTGCACTCAGCCCCCTAAACCTCATTACCATCCAGGTGCCCCCACCCCCACTGGTCCTACTGTACCCAACCCGTGCTGAGCTAAAGTCGAACTGGCAATTCTTTGTATGGGAGTCAGTTGCTCTAACAAAGAGGCTAAAGACCATGGCCTCCAGCATTGTTCGTCTGTTACATATATATTAGAGGTGTAAACTAGGGTTGGGCGATTTTGACCAATTTGGCATCGTGCGATGTCTAATGTGAAACATCGCAATAGACAATGGTGTTGTCATCGTAGGCAGTGATAAATGAATTATTTATGAATAACTAATTCATAACTAATTAATTATTTGTAGCCTACCGTTTCAACTACCTGACCCGCATGGTCTTTGCTTTACCCATAACCAAGTTATAAATACATAAAAAAGAGAAGTTACACACAAGTCACCACCCCTCAATCACTTTTTCCGCAGGACTCGGGCATGAAAAGCAGAGTGATCTGTGTCATTATAATGGCGTCCACAAACTTGGTTGGTAAAAAAGGTGCAACAGCAGCCATTAATCTGTATCTGAGCAAACAGTATCTGAGGTTTTCGCTAAATTGACTGAGTACAAGCATGAAAGCGAAAGATTGAAGTAGTGAACTGATGCTGTGACATGTTACCTGATAGATTCAAAAGACTGAGTCGTTAGATAGAGATGAGATTAAATAATACGTTTAACAACTATAGTGAGACGCAATCCAGCGGTACATCCTTGATAAACTGTCCGACGTGCACTGCTCTCTGGGGTTTTGTGCTTAGCACCTGCTGACTGCCTGGAGCTCAGACGTGTGCATACAATGCAGCGTATAACAGTGTCTGTGTGTGTGGTCAAGTGATGTGCGTTTACAGCAGTATAGTGTGGACTGAGATTGGTTCAGAAAATGCTAGGTGAAACGCCATCGTGGACGTGGATCATTTTTTTATTCTAAAATGCCATTATAAAACGTGTAAACGGCCTAATAGTGTGTTTTCGCGAGCTGGTAGCTGCTGTGATGGGCAGGGCGGAGGATCGTGATGCTGGCCCAGTATCGGCGATAGACAATGGCATCGTCTATTAACCCAACCTTAGTGTGAACCTACACTGGTCTCACGGGTTCGGTTATGATAATCATGTCATCAATCCTATTCAATTCGATAATACAGTGCATTGACAATGCTTTACATACACAATTTTATATTTTACGTCACAGCACAACAATTCTAGTAGTAAAATGTACAAATATATTTATTTATTATTTGTAATATAAATTTGTCCTTTTATAGCTGTTAGATATAAGTAGTGTACCTTTAAAAACTCAAGTACATGCACAGAACAACATGAGCATTTATAGCAAATAAACAAATGTAAATATCGCTTTGTCAGCATTGTCGAGCGAGTTCCTACACCTCTATCATAGATATATACACTAGATATCGCATAGGGACCCTGAGCATGCGTCAATAGCGCCGCCACATTGGTACAGTGCTCCTAGGACAAATGTCATTCAACCGCACTAGTCAAGACAGTATTATTACGTGAAGATGCGGGACTTTAGCGCTGTCTACGGGTGTAGAAACGTGCAAACAAAGAAAACAAAGCACAAAGGCAGAACATTTCATAGGTAATATTATGTTTTTTTCTGTTTTTTTCTGTTCTGAACTTTTGTGCTAATCAGGTAACGTTATTGATGATAACAGTCACTACTGCATTCACCATACGGCAAAGCAGCTCCAACTCGCACTAAACACTCGGCTTATGCTAGTTTTGTTGAATAAAATCAGCAAACAATGCAAAAGAAATATGACAACGAGATGCTGCGCTGCCAGAAACTTGTATTATTGTCGGCTAACGTTAGTGAAAGAGTCGTTCGGGGGATTCATTCACAAACGAATCGCTCCCTCCGTCAGTATGAGAAGTGAAAGCAGAAGAGGAGGTGTGTTTCAGGACACGGATTAGATTAAATTTAACAGGGAGGGTGAATAGTACATTTCTATACACACAAACACAAGCTTTTTGTCAGTAATGCCCGTGCGGTCACTGATCCATCAATGTAGAAAAGTGATGTAAAATTATAATTTTCGTAATTAGAAAAATAAAACTACATACTAACATCCAGGAAAACTCCCGATCATAGATATATGTGTATATGTGTATATCTCTGGCTTTGCAAGGCCACAGTCCTCCACTTTACCTTGGTCCCGCATTCATTTCAAAGGAGCGCTACCCTGTAGCAAGATGGCGGCGCTATTGACGCATTCCGTCCAATAGACAGCAATAGGCCAGGCGACATCTAGTGTATATATCTATGCACCCCTATGATGGGTCAAGTGTTCAACAGAAAGGGCCACGATTGGCTCTACACTCTAGTGCTGTTCACCGATAAGTGACACTGACAAACGGCAGTGGCCATCACAGCTAATTTATGATAGATGTGTAGGAGAAAACTCACTCTGCAGGCATGCGCCAGTATCAGTAAAAAACTATACAGCAAATGCACAGTTAATTGTGCAGAGTTTCTGCTTTTATTTTTAATCGTTGGAGCATTTCAATTACTCAAACTTGTCTCCCTTGCCATAGTACACTAATGCAATATAGTGTATATTAGATAAATGACATTAGTATGTGATAACCAATTATGACCCATTACTGAACCGATACCGAATTGTCAATTAACCGAAATAATTGAAACATTTAATTTTGACACCTATATATATATATATATATATACACGTTTTTTTATTTTAAAAAAATGTGTGACTGTCTAAGCGCTATCTACAGGTATTTCTCTAAACAGCCGATGGTCAGATTTTCGGCTACAGAATATGAATTTATTGATTCTGAAAGCTATTTATTATTTGTGCTAAAAATTATTTTAGGAAAGTTATTCAGTGACTTTTGAGTTTTATTTAGTTTATATTTTGTGAATTTGAAAAAAAAAAATAATTTTAGTAAGTTTCAGTTAACAGTTTTTTTTTTTAATCAATAGATTTAGTTTTCATTTTTTAAAATAACCTTGGTTCAAACACACACATATACACAGTGTGTGTGTGAGTGTGTGTGAGTGAGTGAGTGTGTGTGTGTGTGAGTCTGTGTGAGTGTGTGTGAGTCTGTGAGTGTGAGTGTCTGTGAGTGTGCGTATTTGCTGACTCATTGAAAGCCGCTCTGCAGGCTGCCTTTGTCTCAGCCTGTTTATAATGCTGATGCTGATGTGACCAGCATGTGATTCAGCTGCCTACTGGACAAGAGCAAGGAGGTCAGTCTGCAGGAGTTTGTTCATGCACAACTGCACATTGTTTTTCAGTTGTTGGATAAATTTCGGCACTCATTCTAGTAGTTTAGCCTCTTCACACACAGTGACGTCATGCTACTTGAAGTTCATGGCCCTTGTGTGAGGCTTTACAGTGAACATGAATGAAGAATGGTTCAGAGGTGATGATATTAATAATTAGATGTATATTGATCCTGTTAGCTCACTGAGAGCCTTCATTGAATTACGGAGCGTTGAAGATGCATTGTGAATGGACAAGCAAAAGGCTTTTCTAAAAGAGTCTTTGTGTTTTAGGCTGTGAATGAGGTCTGGCAAGCTTTAAATGCCAAAGAGAGTCTCATCACAATGAAATACCCGAGAGCCATTTTTCACACTACCAGGGAAAATTTCATGCTATGGTTTGATGTAGTGGATCCATTTCCCTCACATGACCTCTGCACTTATTTTCTATCCAATTTTTAACCCTCTCTTTGAAACGCCCTGTAATCAGGTGTACTGAAATCAAGACTTGCAAGAAATGTCTACTTCTGTTAATTGGTAATGGTTTTGCATTTTAAAATAATAGAAGCTGTGAATTATTTTTAAATGGTATGGGTCATTTGGGTTACAAAAAAAAAAAAATGCTTTGTATATTTTAATATGCAGTTGAAATTATTAATCAAGGAATTTCACAATATTTCTTATGATATTTTTACTTCTGAAGAAAGCCTTTTTTATTTTGGCTAGAATAAAAGGAGTTTTAAATTTTGTTTTAAAACAATTTTAAGGACATTATTAGCCCCCTTTTAGTTTTTGTATATAGAAATATAAAAATATATTATTTATAACATATTCCAAATTATATATATTTTTTTACCATTGTTTACAGAACAAACATTCAGATATGTAGTAAAATATTATGTCATCATGGCAAAGATAAAATAAATCTGTTATTAGAAATAACTTTTTTTTTAAACTATTATGTTTAGAAATGTGCTGAAAAAAAATCTTCTTTCAGTTAAACAGAAATTGGGGGGAAATATACAGGATGGCTACGAATTTTGACTTTAAACTGTATACGTAACAAACAAGGCCATATTATAGTAACACACAGCAAAATTCTTGTTACTCACACCTGTGTGTTGTGGCAGTATGGATTCAATATACCTTTTTCTTTTAAAGCACTTGATGCAATGCAGATTGTGTCAAAGTTGCTTTAAAAGGATGAACAGGCAATATTAATCATTGCTCAGTTGCTAAGCCATAACAAACTGGCATAGTCAAGTTTACTCCTCTTTATTCCTGCCCATTTCTCTAATATCCAACACACTTATTATGAGAATTCATGGTTGGCTTGCAGCCTAATCTACCCATGCCTTATAAAAGAAACACTCCACTTTATGAAGAACTATAATTTTATAGTCCTCTAGAGTTAAACAGTTGAGTTTTTGAATCCATTTAGCCGATTTCCAAGTCTTGCGGGAGAAATTTCAGCTTCGTTAAGCATAAATGAGCATAAACAATTAGCATCTCGCTAGAAAGGGCCAAAGAGTTGATTAATTGTCCTATTTTAAGCTTGACTTTTCTGTACTGTAGATATATTGTGTTGTAGACCGATAGACAATAGGACTAGGAACTATACTCATTCTTGAGTAATATATAAGGAACTTTGCTGCCATACCATGGTTGCAGCAAGTTCAATGATATTACGCAGCATCTGCTTGCACAGGTAGCGTGCTTTATACATGATGCAGCAACAGAAGAGTCAAGCTTTAAATGGGAATATTGACAGGTCATGTGAGTGAAATGCCAATTGTTTAATCTAATTCAATAAGACTAGAGATTGGCTGAATGGATTAAACATGGTAAACTCAAAAGTTTACCTCTAGGGGACTGGTAAAATGAGTATTTTAAAAAAGTGTAGTGTTCCTTGCTAGGACATTATCATCAAAATTTGCTTGACCTATGACATGTAAAGTTTGGGCCATCAGTGTATTTATCCATCTTCAGTACTGGTACATACTACAAGCCATTAAGTAGACGTAGACCATACATAGAATAGAATAGGGGAAATTATTGTGGTTTCTTTATCAAGCCACTGAGCTTTTATTATTGTCTATGCATTTGCAGTAAGATGAACATGTTTGAGTATATAAACTACATGCAGAGGGAATGCATAAAAAAGCTTAATTTTTTTGGAGGAATGTCTTGAAAGACCATCTCATAATCTGACTCTTCAAATAATTTGCCTCAAACTATTAAAAACCAAACATCAACTTGTTGGATGGATGAAGAGTATTCTGATGTCTAAACTGTATCCATCATTCTTGTTTTCCTCAGTACGTGCCACACCCGTACCAGCGGACACTGAGTCACAGCACAGCTCTCGCTCTGATGATCAGTCAGATAGCAGGACTGAGCATTCAGATGAGGATGCAGCTGATAAAGCCCCCAAACGCATCGCAATCACCAGGGCAGCCAAGAAACCAGCTGCTGCTAAGACAGAGGTACACGATTTAGTTCATGTTTGTCCACTGCCTTCTTTTTTATAAGTTATTTTGCTTATAGACACTTTTTGTTTATGAAATATGAAAAAAACTAAAACCACTCAAATGTTTCTAGCTCATCTGCCAAATGATTAAGAGCTTGATATGGTTGTTTATGATGTTTGTCACTCATAATGCAGACAAAAACAGTGCATTCAGAAAGCTTTTTAGACCTCTTCCTTTTTTTTTCTTTTTTTTTTTACTTTTTATGGTGTCGCCTTATCCGTAAATGCTTTAAATGAGCTTCCCCCCCCCCCCACATCATTATATACTTGCAGGGGTCCTGTCAAAAATTGACACTTTTCATGTGAATTTTTGGTGGTTTAAAAAAAAGGCCATAGTGCACACATCTTTTAAGTCCACTTAACCATTGGGTGTCTGATTTGGTCATTTTAAGTTGTACACAAAATACATATTTGGAGTAATGCAGATTCTTAACCTAAATACAGTTGCCTGCCCTTGGTATGACAAGTGACCAACCTGCAGTGGGTGTTTTTGAGCTCCAGAGATCATATGTGGATATGGGTGGAAAAACTTGCAGAAGGACAGCCATCATTGATTTACTTCACCAATCTGATCTTTATGGCAGATTACCAGAAAGCTGCTTCTCCTCAGTGAAGACATGTGAAATATGTAACAAAAGCAACTAAAGGAATCTCAGATTATGTGGTCTGATTAAACTTCATTACAAACATCAAATCTGCAGGGAAACCAGAGCTGTACTATTTTAGTGGTGATGTATGGTTTGGCTTTGTTTTTCACCTTTAGGGACCAAGGGACTGGTCAGGGTAATAGGAAAGTTAAATGCAGTTAATTACAGGAATATCCTTAATACCCCAATATTGTGCCAAAGGCTCTCCTTTTCACAGGATAATGCACTTAAGCACACAGGCAAAAAAATACAAGAGCTGCTGGGACAACCACAGAGTTACTGCTCATCATACTCAATTCTAAACCAGAGACCTGATAATGATTTTCCATGGACAGACAGTTCTCATCTAACATGACAGACCGTATTAAAAGGTGTAGCGAAAAAAAAAAAAAAAAAAAAAGATCCTTTGATAGTGAATATATCGTCATCTAAGTAGTGTGTTAAAGCTAGGGCTGGGCGATTAAAAAAGGTATCATATTTAATGACCGAACACCATTGTCTATGTCTATATAAAAAAAAAAAAAAAAAAAAAAAAAAAAAAAAAAAAAAAAAATATATATATATATATATATATATATAAATGAAGGCTATAGTTATTAAAATGTGGCTGCTGAGCACGCGCCTTGGAAGCAATGCCAATAAGCTTAGGGTGTAAATTTGTCATTTCCAATGGAGGTGCACCACTTGCATGACGTGCATATGGGAGCGACGCGCACATGTTGTCAAAGTGGCACATACATGACGCGCTCATTTTCTAGGTGCACCTGGTTGAAAACATTTGAACTTTTCATAATGTTGTGTGTGCTCTGCGATTCATGAAAGTAGAACTATCTGCTTCACACTTTTTATGGAATACAATTAACTAGACTAATTACCTTAGACAAACATTGTGCATCCAAACATTACAGTGATTTTTACTTTTGTTCTGTGACAAGCAGCAGTGCATCTTGTAAATAAAAAAAAGATGCAAGGATGTCGCCAGAGTGGCTTTTAGATTTTTCTTGTGCATCCCAGCCAATAGCACCCCATCTGTAGGCTTTTGTTTTGCAGAGTGGTAATGTAGTCATCCAACTTTACAATTTGTAATGTTGCAATGCAATATGTAATTTAATAATAATTGGTTCCTTTACTTGAAAGCTCAGTTTTGATTATCATAATTTTTTTTGCAAAGTTTGAGGTTTACTGTATCTTTTTATTATTCAGACCTTTAAAGTTTGCTTTGATTTTTCATCAATTACACTTTACCATTGCACACCCTTTGTAATAATTTATTTATCAAATTTAAGAGTCTCCTTAACACTTATGTTTATTTTATTATGAAGAAATCAGATATTTTTGTTTTTGACTATTAAAACTATTTGCCTTGGTGATGTTGGTAAATTAAAATAAAGTGGTTAAAAAAATCCTAATAAACCTAAATGGACTGCTAAAATAAAATATTCAATAATTATCTATACCGAATCATATGAAACATGATATTGTGATCTTTTTTTTTTTTTTTTTTTGCAATATCGCCCAGCCCTAGTTAAAGCTTAAAGTAATTTGTTCTTTAAATGCATGCAGCTTGATTTTTCTAACCAAACATGCAACTACTTAGTTTGCCCACTAAACCTGGCCATTGTTTCACACAGTCAGAATTGTCATTCTGCATTAACATGAAGGTGTGGTCAAATTAACTGTTTTTCAGTGAACTCCAGTCACTTAAGTAGGAATCCATGTTGTCTAGATTTTGCATGAATAGCAGTTTCCTTACAGTCCTCCACAAAACAGTTTCCCCACACCTGATTTCTCAGTGGGTTCACTTTGGAAATGCAAATTTGCACAGTGAAACAAAAAAAAGCTTGGTCTGTGCTTCATATTTTGACATGCAATGGATGTTTGCTTCCATGGTTGCACTTTAATGTTCCAAATAAACAGAACGAAGGTGTCTGATTAATTTCTGAATGCACTGCAGTCTGTTATAACCTCTGAACCTTATAACATTATAACCATAAATTAATGTGGTATAGACTCTTTTCACAACTGGTTTCAGCAGTCAACATCTTAAATGCCATGCTTAAGTTTTTAGTATTTAAATAAATAAAAGTATGCCTATTTATAAAGCTATACTTTGTATTATCAACTTTTTAAATTAAATTGCAAAATTGTTAGTTAATTAATTTCTAATTGCCCGTTACCACCGAGTGGTAGGGTACAGTTTGGTATGGTTTTATGTCTTTTTGTACTATCAAAAGGTATTAAAAAGCAAACCGTATTACACCACTATTTGGGTACCTTTTGAAAAGCTACCTAGAATAACAAAAGGGTACCAAAAGGCAGAGCAAGGCGTGCAGCTATTGGTTTACAGAAATGCGTCACTAACGCGTGCACAAGCCAGGAGAATGAAAACAAATGAAGCGTCATTTTTAAATAGACGGCAGAGACATTACACCGTAATAATATATACATACAATAACAAGCCATGGTTGACCTGAGTTTAAACAAACATTGTCGTCTTCTTGATGAACAGCCACAAAGCCAAAAAGAAGAGCAGGATTGACCCTGTGTCCCGTAGTTGTTTACAAGCCCGTCTAAAGCGCGAGCGGGTTTGCTTTGTCACACATCTTTATTTGAAATAACAAACTTATTTAGCTGATGATAACAGGTGTGTGTGGTTTATTGAAGTTCTTCCGACATGCGATCCTTTCAGAAACTTGTTTTTTCGAGCGTCACTCTCGCGTTTGTCAAAGGAGAAGCCTGAAAAAAAACAAAGAGCAAATGATTCTTTCAGCAACCTAAAAGATGACCAAACTGCCACGTTTAACTGTAATCATCGCCTTCTGGACTGTTATGAACTCTGAATGACGGAATTACTTACTAACATGAGGTTACATGTGCTGGTGAAGATACAGATGAAAGCTTTGCACTCAAATAAGGACTAAATGTAGGCTGTGTGTAGTTTACCTGTAATTGATTCCATATCGTTGACTGTAAGTGTCTATATGTGTTCATACATGCTGCATTTATTTACTTTACATAATTGCAGGCCATGCAGTAGGCTATTTCGCACATCACTGATTTGCAGTTATAATCAAATCATGTACATAGAAAGGTTAGTAATGAGAATTTATACACAATTATTTATGTTTAAAGCATCTGTTTTGTGAGAAGTCCTTCTCATATGATATGCGAACAACCGGTACAGCTTTACTTTGACATTTCCTTGAATTATAACTTTGTTGCACACCATGCCCAATGGTACCCTTTTGGCAGTGGAAATGCAAGCTTGATTTAAATTGACCCGTACCGACCCAAACAGTACCACTTAGTGGAAACAGGACATTATACAGGCTCTATTGATGGGATAATCAAATTTTGTTCTCCCTCCTTGCTGTCTATATCAGTCTCAGACAATTTTTAAAAATTGTTTCTTAAAGTTGTGAAAGTTATCATGGAGTTTTCTTTTGTTATTTGAGCAAACTGAAATGCAAATGTGTTCATGATACTCTTCACGACACTCTGAGACAACTTCCACTGCTGAGAATCCTGGAAAAGTGAAAAAGCTCTATTAATTGTACACTTTTTTTTTTTCTTCTTGTGTTTTGTCCCGATGTCTTCCCCAGCAGACCACCAAGACAGTGAAGAAAGCTCCAAAAAAGAAAACCACCACGGCTAACAACGTTGCTGAATCACCATGAGCCACACGGTGCTCACCAATTCTTGGACAACACAAACATTCACAAGCTTTCCCATATTATTAACACCCAACCATTCATGCTGTTTGCTTTTAATGATGTGTACTGACATCCATCGCCTGAGGCTGTTTTTATTTAGGTTTGATGCGGTGAGTAAGTTTAGACATCAGGCTACATACATTCATTTTCCATGTAATAACAGCAGTGTTTCTGCGACATCTTCTCTGTAGGCCTTAATATTAGTGTGCAAAGCCTGAGATCTGGAAGCAGTGCCTGCACATAATCATACATCATCACTTCAGTCCATCCCTGTTTTCCCTAATAGAGGCCAGTTCACTTTTTTTTAGCATATAGGACACGCACTATGGGATGAGGGAGAAACGGGAGCAGAAAAGCTGGGCTATTAAATGAATTAGAAACAGACTTGATTTACAACACAAGTACAGGGTCCGTAGAGATGTCTGCTGTCGCTCTGAGCGGTTCTGTTCTCATTCTGGGTCATTGTACATTCTGAGATTTGTCGTGAATATTCATGATCTCAGAGGTCAGACGTCTACTAGAAGCTTCAGGATCTTCTATGCTCTTGCTGTTATTAGTGCGTTTGTCCAGAGCTGTTCGGCGTGCGTACGCTTTTCTGGTTCTAATTTAACACCCGTCTAGTGGGATGTTACACATTTTGAAAGTATTATTTAAAAAATGCCAGGTCGTTGTTTTGGTAGGGTACAAGATGAAAGCAAAATTTGTCAGTCAAGTTTGATCTCTGAAGATTCACTCTTTTTTTTTTTTTTTTTTTTTTTTTAGAAAGTCAACCGTTTCAGTGCAGCGAGCTATTCATTTTATTGACGCATTTTGCTTGTCGAACTCAAATCCATAACTTTTTTTTTAATGATGCACTGAGCAGTTGGGAGTTAACAGATGGTTCATTGTGGGCAAAATGATCAGCCCTCAGAAGTGAAAATTATTTTTAAAATAGACCAGAGGGTTTTCGGGCCAACGTATTTTTTAAGACCTCCCCCTATTCGTTCTCTTGAAACTGCATGTAGTCCTGAATCCACATGTGGACCGATGTGTTTGGATTTAGGTGCTGATCTTGACTTCAGCTGTTAAGGCATTATAACATGCAGCGTTATTGAGAGCCGATAGGTGGCGCTGCTGTACAGCAAAACAGCACTAGAATACTTGCAGATGGAAAATAGGTTTAAATCCGTTGGTTAATTAGCCGAAATATACCCGAATAAATGTTAATTTGTATAATACTATTGACTGTACAAAGTCTGCCTTACTCTGATAGGCTTTTTAAGTTCATGTTTACATATAATATGTCATTTTGTAGGATAGGATGTACAGAAATGTTAATTTTTGTTGTAAAAAGTGTTATTTGTGCATATTTGTATGGTTTTAATTTACGATATTTTGTCTTCTCTCTGCCTTTTTTTCTTTTGTTTGAGAAGGACTTTTGATCATTTTATAGTTTACTTAAACAGTGCAAATCATATGTTAGTCCTTGTTTAGACACTCACACGTGTAGTTTATAGCAGATGGATGTTTCTGTAGAAACACGCGGATTAGAAATGACAGATCTGTCATAACACAATGCCGACTTGAATCATCATGATCAATAATTCAGTGTTGCTGATTGGCGACATGACATTTTTCTGTGTCTTAGTCTCCTGAGTAATTCATCTTTTTTTTTTTTTAAATAAGAAACTTTGAGATTGTTTGTCTTTTAATTAAATGTGTGTGGTTGATGCTCACCAACCCACACAAAAATGACTGTCAGTCTCACTCCTCAGTCTGTTCTTTGTTCTTTTCTTTTTTCGCTCCTTTCCCCCCCTTTTCTTTGGTATTTATTTGCATAATCAGAAATGACAATACGTTTGTTTTCTTTTAATTCGCCAAGGCTTGCGCTGAGTGAGACATGACAAATTGAACATTCACTTTTTCTTTGATGTTTTTCTGCATTGTGTTGGAAATTGGTATTATTGCATTTGCAGATTTGAACTGAGAGAATAGTCAACCTTAATATATTGTTTGTGCCAATTCTCAATGCTCTTAATATATTACAAGAATGAAAAAGAGACTGCTGCTACATGTGTACTAACTGACCTTGAAATATTATTCAATAAAAATGCAATTACTTCCTGAACGGATTATTTGTTTAATTATTTCAAACCGTTTGTAATCCTGTAAGTACTATAGAAAATAAAATAAACAGTTGTATTAGGCCACATTAATGATTTCCTTTCACCGTGCCATCTAGATTTAATATCTGCCTTTTATTTTAATAGTGTTTATCAGTAATTTTAATGAATATGCCTCATTTCAACACTGTTAATTGATATATAGATTTGTTTACACTGTAGTTCAAAACAGACTGTCGTACACAGCACAGATAACTCCCAAATCTGCACTGAGATGATCTGTATTAGTGTACTCTTAAAAGAGGACAACCACCAGAGAAAATATTTCGACAATTTGAGAAAATAACCAAGTGGACAATAAGAATGTCTTATGACATGACTGTAATTGAGGATTTCTTCCTTTATATTCATTGATGCTGTTTTTTTCCAAACCATTGACTGACACTGTGATCACAGCTAATAGCCAGTCGGTGCAATTGTATACGCATTGTATCACCAATCATCTCAACCCCTTTTTCTCACTAATTAAAGACACAATTAGTAGGGTAATCCTGTAGCATGAATAATGATAATTGAATGATCTCTTTAGAATGCCATTTTTTTTAAATTACTGACATTAGTTGACATGAGACAAAATTATTTATAGTACTGTAAATTTCAGCGTTTGTACTATAGTTCAGTGTATGACACTGTAGTATGTACAACACTTAGTTAAAACTACAGTACACTTTAGCATTTATTAGCAATGAAATGATAACCATGTAATAAATCTGTTGGTCTATACTTTAGTTTTTACTATGGTACACTAAGGTTTATTTTGGTATAGTTGTAAACCTATAGTACAGTATTGGGTAATTTGTTTTTATTATAATAGTTGTCATATTACCAAGCTGACTACAGAATTACCATAACATATTAATTCAATTACTAAAGTGTGGTTCAAAAACACTACATTATTTACGGTAAATTATTTCTATCGTAATACCATGTTGGTACATGGAGTAAACTGATTTTGTAGGAAGGTGTATAATTAACAGCATATTACCTAATCTTCAGCATGTTTTCTTTAAAATATACATTTTAGATTATCTTTAAATTTTACGTCAAAGGAAAAATGTCACAGAAAAATTTGCAACATATAGATACAACATGCAGCACCTTTAATTCATCTTCATTGTTCAACAGTCAGGTACTGACGCAGGAGCGGATTTAACGGTGAAGTAAATAGGCGCTTAGGCCTCAGGAAATTTGGGGGGCCCCAATAAATGCGTAGAGGAATACATTTTACACAACATCGTTTTCTATCGTATTTTGTATAGTGAGGGTCTAACAAATTAAGTTTTGACAATTTTAACATTTATGCACATTTGTCCCAATCATGGAGCAGTCCAGCAGCCAAGTCAGGTGAATATTTAGTTTTAAAAACTATTTATTAATTTCAATTTATCCTTTTTTTTTTTTTTTTTTTGTGAATTGATTTTAAGAAAATAAATCGCTTAAAGTGCAGAAATTTCATTAGGGTAAAACATGAAAAAGGACATTCAGTGATTAAAAAACAAACAGACTGCAAAAAAAAAAAAAAAAATTATAAAACATATTAGGACTGTTGGGCTCCTTGGCTGGAACTGCTTTGGGCCCCCAAATCACTAAATCTGCCCCTGCTGATGCGCACAATTCTGACAAAAAGTCAGAACAGGACATCAAACTGTCTTTGGAAAATGAAGACACCAGGTAAGCTTGGGTTTTCAGTACAAAACCCGAGGACAGTACTGCTGTTTATGTTTTGACAACTATCTTCAAATACACATCTGGAAGTCCTGTTGGGGTAAGTTACTTTTAAAAGTAACGAATTACAATATTGAGTCACTCCCCAAAAAAGTAACTTGTTGCATTACTTAGTTACATTTTATGGTACGTTACTTTTGCTTTTCTTTTTTCTTACCTGGCAGAGGCTTAATCTTTTTCAGAACTAGTGGAGCTTTCCTTCTTTCTTAGCCACACACACATAGCACTGTATAACCTCTATTTACCTAAAAACTCATCAAAAATATAATTTAGGATTATCTTCTGAGAACATTCTGACCCCAGAGCTATGACATGCTATATTATTTTTGAATGTTTACAGCAATTGCAACTTTTGTCTCATTAGTTAAGTAAAATCACTGTCCACTGGGACATTCCCCATTTCCTTTTTTTGATGTGTTCAAAATAACGAGAATACTTCCATTGCAGAAATGTGTTCTGCCATTTGGTGTCTGTCGGTACCTTATTCTCTCGACACGGCTGCATTTATTTTAATTCAGCAATTAATTTTTAAAAAGCCAATTAAACAAAAAGAGTTACTTGCATCACATTTAAAAAAAAAAGTAACTTTTGAAAAGTAATGCATTGCTAGTCGTTATTGTAACTTGCCTTGTGCGCTACTCCCAACACCGGTCATTGCTTAGCATCTCATTCAAATATAACATCTATTTATCTTACTTAAACGGCTGGATAGAGCTCTGCGAATATGTATAAATTTATGGAAAAAATAAACACAACCTATAATTATGAATCTTTTTAAACTTACTTTTGGTGGGCTGCTGCTTAATTCAAAGTCACACTAACTTAATGTGTCTCTGGCTCGTTAGTTCCCTGTTGATATACCGCGCGGTGTAGCAGAACTGTAGAATATTAGGTTTAAACTAGATTAAATAAACAATAATGAGGACGTCTTTCCAATGATATATTTGCGGCAAAGTAATATTTTAGAAGTTAACTTTACCGACAGAAGCTTACTTGGAGAAAACACTAGGTGGAGCAAGTAATCCAGTAATATCAGTTTGTGAATTGAGTGCGGTGGATAACGACAGACAGCAGGCAGTAATGAATGTTATTGGCGTGTTTCAAATCTCTATAACGAGAAAGCTAATTATCTTTACCAATTAAAACCCGTTTAACTGTGCAAATAAACAATGAAGCAGAATGAAAGTGAAGTAATGAATTACAGTTTTTCAGTCAGTCACTTTTCAAATTGTGTCTTGTGTCTCACAGGTGCACACATTAGCAGGCAGTGCACACAATAATGTCATAAAACTGGGAGTGATATATGAAGCCTATAAAAATTCTCATTTGTTAAATTTGTTATTTAATGTGATTTTAGATCAATTGATGAATATATTTTTTACACAAAAGCAAGGATTGATGATGGATTAAATCATACATTTAAGGAAGGATTGATGATATATGCTCATCTTTTCTAGGATGCACTTTCGCAGACTCACAAGGATCAATTCTGAATTAAATTTAGTCTAAAGATTAACGATGAACACAGATGATACAGTATTTGTACTTCTCAAATGACAAAAAACAAACTGCATTTAAACTTACAGCTGCTCTTACTCAATGTAAATATAGCCTATTTATCTACTAAAATACCGCATGATAAACAAGTTAAGAAGAAGAAAAAAATATTGAGTATTTTGAATTGAGCATTTTGTTGTGATTAATAAATTCTATTATTTAAGACACATAAAGGTGTTACAGTTATATTTATGGGTTAAGGGTACATTACACGTCTTAAACACGTGTAACTGTATACATTCACTCTATCATTTTCCTTTGGCTTAATCCATAATTTATCAGCTGTCACCACAGCGGAATGAATCGCCAACTTATCCAGCATACATTTTATGCAGCAGATTTCATTCCAGCTGCAACCCAGTACTGGGAAACACCCATACACTCACATTCACACACATACAGCTCGGCAAATTTAGTTAATCCATTTAATCTATAATGCATCTCTTTGGATTGTGGGGGAAACCGGAGCATCCGGAGAAAACCCATGCCAAAACCGGGAGAACATGCAAACTCCACACAGAAACGCCAACTGACCCAGCCGTGGCTTGAACCAGTGGCCTTCTTGCTGTGAGGCTACTGTGCTAACCACTGCACCACCGTGCCACACCTAAACTATATATTACATTACATTATATTATATACAAAAGAATATAACTATACGCTTTTTATAAGAAATAGAAGCTATTATAACTACTGTTTAGATCTTCATTATTTTCAGATATGTATCGTCACCTTGGAATTATAAGGTTCTGCCTGCATTCTGAATCATTTTGAGATATTGAGCTTTAAAGTTTTTTTTTATAATAATCAGTATGTGTGTAACATTTGTTTTTAAATAAAAAGTCTTAAAATGTAAACAACTTCTAAAAAACATCCCATAATGTAAATAAGTTAATAAGAATATGTCAATAACTCAATTTTGACAAAAAGATAGAAACTTATAATCGAAAGATGACAGTATTTTGTGTCATCATCATTTTTTAAGCATTGCAGGACTTTCTGGATGAACAATGTAAGGAAAAGTAGGTACAGGACATTGTTCATGCGAATTTAAGAAAACTTTTTTTCACAATTAGATTTTTCAGTTATTTACTTTTTTGTTTATTTTTCAGTTTAAGTAATTACTAAAATACGCTCAAAATATTGCATGATAAAAGTCATAGTTTTTAATTGTTTTGCTGTCTGACATTTGTTTATTTTATGACTTGAAATTACAATTATTGACAATATTATTAATACTATATTGGGAGGTATGTTATTTAATTGTAGTGGACACATGTGCAAATTTGCTAGCTAGCTCTGGCAAAACATTTGTTTTTAATTAAGTGAAGTTTTTGTATAAACTACTTTTGAGAGGATCACATGCTTATGATTGCTAGTGGCTGGATCAGCATTATCCAATTCACAATGCTCCAATCAGACGACTCCTAAACTACTATAAATACCCTGGGTTTTATTCCACTGCTATCTTCGTTTTGAAGATTCCCCCCTCCGCCCCTACTCCTCCTCCTTCCTAGACGGGTGACACAGTGGCCCAGTCCTTAGCACTGTTGCCTCACAGCAAGAATATCTCTGGTTCCAGGCTTTACCAAACCAGCAGACATTTCTGTGTGGAGTTTGCACTTTCTCCCCGTGCTCACGTGGGTTTCCCCCGGGTTCCCCG